CCCTTATCAAGTGGATCTCCTAAGATAGAGAATCTTAGAAAGATCCTAAAAAATAATCACCTTTGGAGGAATGAGGTGAATTTATTTTCTCAGTCTGATCTTGGTTTCATTGATTCTTGTCTAGGTAGACAACTGTTTCCTTTTTATTTGGGGGAGCACTGCCATTTTGTGTCAGAGTCACCCACAAACCAATACTCTGGTGTGTCTTTTTTCTTTGGACTTTATTGGGAGTTGCTGTCATCCCAATTTGAGATGTGTAAGTCCTTTACAAGGTTATGTCCTCTCCGAAGAAATACAAAATTCCTTTGGAATGTGTTGTGTTCTTTATCTCTCTCTCTTGCTCTTTCTCACACACATACATTTCCTACATAACTTTTTTTGTTTGTTTGTTTCACTATTTGTTTCAGAACAAGCAAGGGGCCGGAGTGATAGTACAGCAGGTAGGTAGGGCTTACATGTGGTGGACACACAGACCGGGCCAGATTCGTTCTGGAGGTAAAGCCCCAGAGAAAGCATTTTTTTTTAAGTTTTATTTATTGAATCACCCTGAGAACAGTCACAAATCCTTTTAGTTTAAGTCTCGGTCAGTCATACAATGATCAAACACCCATCCCTTCATCAGGGCACATTTTCCACCACCAAGAACCCCAGTATACTCCCCTCCCCCTGCCTTGTGGCAGATTTCCACTTTACTCTCTCTCTACGTTGATCACATTCAATATTGTGACAAAAGACCCAACATTATTATTTGAAATTTCCCCCAACATTCAGTCCTGCCAAAAGACATCATTAGATAATTTGTCTTTTATTGCTGATTATGGAGAGCATATGATGTCACGTGGCCGCAACAGCTGCCACGTGATTTTAGATTTCTGATATTTTAGTAATAAGCCTAGAGGGATTAATGCCCCAAAGCCCCAGGATTCTGAGATTGGTTTGTGTGCCTCTGGGATCATGATTGTTCAGAAGCCAGAGGAGGCATTTGTGGGTGGCAACCTGGGGCCTTGTCAGGGCTGCGGAGAGCAGGAATGGTTCCACCCCCCATTCCTAGAGGCCCAGCGTGCCTTATCAATGCAGTCTCATACCTGGCTTTCCATTAGGGTCTAAAAGATGGAGGCCACCATGCCACCACCACAAGGAGGGCAGGCAGAGGGACAAACACCCTTCCCCTCTCAGGGCGGCATAGCACCGTAGTTTAATGCACAGTCCAGATGCATTTTGGTTGGGCATTATATTTTACTCAAATTTTCCTACCACCATTCAAGCGTGCCTTCCAGGGACAGACGCTAGATCATTTACTTTCCATTGCTCACTTTGCATATCAGGAAAGGTCTTCCGGGCCAGGCAGTTCGGAAGAATAGTTGTGGTGCCTGCATACCGGAGCCATGCTCGTAGAAGTTCATGGTCACCAGGATTCCATCTGGAGAAGGTGGGGAGACAGCACCTACCCCGTCTGGGACCTCCCGGTGATATTGGCTCGGTATGGGGCCTGGAGAATTCTCTGGGAGTTGTGGAGCCCGCAGACCAAGTTTCTTCACTGCTGTGGGCTGCAAAATGGTGCTGGGGGTGGATTGAGGGCGTGACTTCCAGGATCAGGGGCTGACTGGGAACTGGGGCAGAACTGCCTGGCCTGGCGAGGGAAAGCATTTGAAAAGGCAAACCTGACCTCATGCTTCACTGCTTAAAATATTGCTCATCTTCCATGACCCTCTGGATAGAGACTCAACCCTCTCACCATGGTCTGCCCAGCCCTTCTGGCCTAGACCACCAGAAATAATTCCTTCCAGGTAGTTTTCTCTTCCCTCGACCTGCCTTTGTATAAGCTGCTGAGGGAAAAAATACCCTACGTTGGGATGAACTCAATGCCCCTGGGAAAAAAAAAAACCTCGTTGTTATCATGGAAACAATCATCTAAAAGGCCTGGAACTGCTCTGAACTCTGCAACAACACTCGGCTCCTGCAGGCTCTCCCGCCCTCCCAGGGTCCAGCAGCTTCTGCAGCCTCACCTGCATACCTCACTTCCGACCTAGCAAACCATTCGGTCCCCCAAAAATAACAGTATGCATCATCTCATCTTCCCACCCAAAAGGAGGCCCCTAAGAAAGATAAAAGGCTCTAAGCCTCCCTCAGAGGTCTCTGCTTTGTCCTCCTGACAGTGCTCTCCCTAATAAACTTTCACTTTATTTGTCTAAACTTTACACTCTGGTTTTATCAGCCCTCAGTTCTAGCTTCCCTTCTCCTCTCCCTCCAAGCTAGTCCAAAGGATGCTCCAATATTCCTTCAGGCGGGAGATGTGAATTTTGCAGAAGTCTTTTTATGGACCATAAAGAAAAACAAAACCTTCTTTTTAAATGTAAAAGCCCTGCTTTAGGAGCCTGGATGCATCTACATTCTAACCTTCTTGCAGAGATTGTCTTATGCTAATAGGCCTACTAGGAACCTGGGAAATGGCTCAAAGGACTGGAGTGCAAGTTTTGCTTGCTAGAGCTCTGGGTTCAGTCCCTGTCACCATGAGATTCCCCAGGCCCCTCCCCAGCACCAAAACTGGAGTAGCCCCAAAGCACTTCTGAGTGTGACTCAAACAAACAAAACAAAACAGTGGGTAGGCTAAATATAACAATATGTTACCAGGTAATGTGTCATCAAGCCATACAACTTATGAGAAATTGTTATCTCTGATTTACATATCCTCGTCCCTACAATGTTTCCTGTTTTATGGAACGGTCTCAAAATCCAAATGGGGTTTTTTTTTTCTTTTTGGGTCACACCCAGCGATGCTCAGGGGTTATTCCTGGCTCTGCACTCAGGAACCCAGGTCGGCCGCGTGCAAGACAAATGCCCTACCTGCTGTGCTATCACTCTGGCCCCCAAATGTATTTTAATACTTGTTTCAGCCAGGATGTTGGAAATTGCCATATGCCCATCAAAAGACAAATGCTTTTTCTCTTCTATGACTTTAAACATAATTTTTTCCTCTACTGAGGAAGGCTCTCTTATAGAAATTGTATATAAATCATACTTTGTATTGGGAGGTGGAGTGGGGAGGAACCATAATGTAGTTAAGTTGAACTCTGCTTCTTCTTCCAGGCAGCCTTCAACTTTAAACTTTGGAAAAAAAATAAAGCTCTCTATTCATCCTTTTCAGTGGTGATGTTTCATTTCAACTAACATTGTTTTCTTGCTGGGGCTGGTAGTGACATGTGTTAATCCCCTCCCATCCCTGCCCTTGAGTTCAGTCCTGTTTACTACTGTACTGACATCCCAAGGTCTGTCTACATCTCAATTCATGTGTTCTTTGGATAGATGTCTCCCATCCCCCTCTCTTTCACTTCAGGCCACGCCGGATCATTACATCAACAGAAAGCTGACTAAACAACATATCTTTCTAGAATTTGAATTTTTTTGTGGAGGAGGAGTGGTTTTGGGGCCACCCCTGGTGGTACTGGGGGCTGATTCCTGCAGTGCTCCAGGGACTATGTGATGCGAGGGATCAAACTAGGTATGTATAAGTACTTGCTGCATGCAAGTACTATACTTAAACCATTGTACCATCTCTCTGGCCTAGAATTTGAATTTTAAACACTTAGAGGTTTGAAGAGACCTTACATTTCTGACTCAGTCTTGCTTCCTGAAACAAATTCTTCAGTTTTCCTCTGATTCTGTGAATTTTTCCATAGACTGTCTTCTTAGCAACTCTGATGAGTATTATATCGAGGGGAGACACATTTATTTTGTGATTAAAGGGTGAAATTGTTAGAAAATGGCATTGTTCCACAGATTCTTAGTTGCCAGGCACAAAACCAAGGTGTAGGAAGCCAGCATGGGAAGTACTAGGAGATACAACCCATGCATTTCTCAGGGAACCACAATGGGGAGAAAAGACACTGAGCTCACAACCTCCAAGATGTCTCAGTTTATTTTGTTCCCATGAGACAGGTGCAGTTGATAATGTACAGCAGCTCAGTAAAATGCTTATCAGTAGGATGCATCTGAACAATTAGAAGGAACCCAAATCTGACCTGGAGGCCTCAGTTATGTAAATGAACCCCAATCCTCTCATAGTCATCAAGGAAATAATCCTGGGCAAAACACCAGCCTTGCTTGACTCTGGGTCTTTTACTCAGAAAAAAAGGCCTGGTGCTCCTTTTCAAGCATGTATTTCCCCAATAAACTTCCCCTTTGCCTACTATTCTCTCAGTGAATTCTTTCACAAACCTGCTCACCCACTTATCATTCCTGGCAATCTCCTATTTAGCTTAATCTAGTCAGATGATTTTCCGATGTGTTTTAATCAAAGCACTCCAATTGAGTACTACTGTTCTTCACTAGAAAACAAAGGATAAACAAATCTTTCTGGATCTAAGTTTCATTTATTTATTAAGTAATAACATTTTATGTTTTTGCTGAAAAGATAAAAGTTGGTACTATGCAAAGTGTCAGGAATACAGCATTAAATAAAACAGATTAAGGTTTATCAGATAAACCTTAAACATCTCCCCCAAACCCAGCTGTGGTAGAATTCAGGTACAGATGTAGATGGTTGCGTTAATCATGTTCTCCATGCAAAGCACCAATCAGCTCTAGTATGAACAATCAACTAATTCCTAACAACCACATTCCCCTATATTTCTGAGCTCACAACCTCCAAGATGTCTCAGTTTATTTTGTTCCCATGAGACAGGTGCAGTTGATAATATACAGTAATTTATATATTACTCTTTTTTTTTTTTTGGTTTCCTAATTTTCTTTGTTAAGCATGCAAACAGCAGTTTATCTTCTAGTACACTCTCCTTAGGGCTCTGAGCAGGCACTAGTGGTCAAGTGCTCCCAGTCTGCCAAGGCTCCCAGTCCTGGGACGGTTTCCTGCCCCTGCTTTGGGGCTTGCCAGGCTTCGAGAAGCTTCGGAGGCCGGGCCGTCAGCACCACGGACAGAGTCGCGGGCGGGAGGCGGGGCCGGGGGCGGGGCGTTCGCGGAGACGTCATGACGCGCGGAGTCTGGCGCGCGCTCCCGGGCCGCGGGCGTCAGCGCGTCACGTGACCCAGGTACTTGGCACCGCGCGCCGCGCACCCCGGGGCGCGCAGCCCCCCTCATCTGCTGAGTGCGGACCCCGCTGCCCCGCCGACCCCCGCCGGCCCGGTGAGCGCGGCAGCCCCTTCCTCCGTGTCCTCAGCCTTCTCTCCTTCTGCCTTCTCGAGGCCCGGCCCCTCTCTCTGGGCTCCGTCTTCCTGGGGGGCTCCTGCCCGCCGGGGAGGAGGGGAGGGGGCAGGGGGAGTGAGCGTGACCTTGGCTTCGCGCTGTGCTGGCCACAGCCGCTCCAGGCCTCCCCCCCATCCTTTCTCCCACGTCGAACCCCGGAGGGCAGAGTTTTGCCTAAAGGAGCTACACTCTGATGCTGGGAGTTCGGGCATCCACGGGGGGGCTGCAGCATCCGAAAGAGTTCTCCAGCCCCAAGACTGCCCCCGCGGCCCTTAGTGGCCCGGGGAGTTGCGGGGGGTTGGCCCTAGCTGGGCCTCATCCCCGCAAGGGTCAGGCACCCCGCAAGGGGCTAGGGTTGAGGGTTCGGAGAGCGGCGGGCACCGGGGTTGGGTAGGGGGTAGCGGTGCGTGCTTGGAAAGTGGACAGGCGGGCAGCTTCGAAGTCCCTGAGCCCCGTGAGTTAGAGCCAGGACCCTTGGAGACCGTCTCAACCACCGTGTCCGACACAGACGGGGAAACGGAAGACAGGACTGGCGGCCAGGGAACTGCTTTTCCCACTCACTGGCTTATATGGGAGAGGGGGTTGTAGGGTAAACTCTCTGACCTAGCCGGGGCGGCGTTGCGCCTAGTTAACTGCGCCTCAGAAGCAGCCCTCTTCCCTCTGAAGATGCTGCATCACATCAGGCTCCTTGCCTGCCTCTTGGGGGGAGTCAGGGAGGACTCACCCTGCCGCCCACCTTGAAGGTCAGGGAGGCCCCTTTGCCCTCTGGCATCTGTTAACTGATGTTTTTTGTGGTGGCCAACAACCTAGTCTGCTGGTGGGGAAGGCTTAGTGCAGCAGGGTGTTTGCAACCTGGTTCTAGAGGGCAAAGGCGGGGACGTTTTTGACCTTGTCCCTAGGAGGGGGCAGGGTACAGCTCCCGACAACTCTTGGGAGTTGGTTGCTTCCACTGGTTTGGGCAGGACCCGACAGGGTAGGCAGGCAGGCAGGCACTTTGGCGCCCCAAACTGAGATTGTTCTGACCCCAGATGGTCAAGGTGCCTGGGTCCTCAGGGCCTGTTGGCACGGGGGCAGCCTCTGGCAGCCCTCCCGCCCGGCCAGGTGAAGGTCAGCCATCCCGCACTGTGGGTGTTTATTAAACACTGTTCCCAGGTTGGGGGCAGCCAAGCATTGGCACTTGCCTGATCTGATTAGTCCCATTGGGGTGGAGAATTCAGAAAGAGCAGCTCTGCTGGAGAGAGAGTAAAGGGTGAAGGTGCTGGCTTGCTCACAGGTGGCCAGTTCCTGCTCAACCCCAGGGCCCCGCATATGGTCCCTGGAGCACAGAGCCAGGTATGGCCTCTGATCACAGAGGCAAATCCGACCTTGATCGTAAAACCAGGCCAGGTGCCTCTCATCAAGAAAAAGAAAACAGGGCAGCTGTGGGTGCAGCTGCTGGAAAGTGCATCGTCACTCAGAAATCTGGGTTTTAAGATAAATCTTTATTTGAGGGATTTATTTAGAGGTCACTGTCACTGCCCTCCCATTGTTCATCGATTTGCTCGAGTGGGCCCAGTAACGTCTTCATTTTGAGACTGGTTGTTACTGTGTTTGGCATATCGAATACGTCACGGGGAGCTTGCCAGGCTTTGCCGCGAGGGTGAGATACTCTCGGTAGCTTCTCGGGCTCTATCTTTATTTTTTAAAAAAATTGTGGTCCACAGTTGGTCCGCAGCTGGCTATGCACAGGGCTTACTCCTGGCTGTGTGCTCAGGGGTCTCATGGTAGCACTTGGGGTGCCAGAAATTAAACCCAGGTCAGTCACGAGCTAGGTCAGCACCTTGTCCCCTGCGCGCTCTCTGGCCTCGCTCTACGTTTTATCGTTTCCCCTTTGACTTTTGCATTACATCTGACAGTGCCAACGGGCTACTCCTGGCCCTGCTGGGGGGTCACTCCTAGAGGTCCTATGTGTGGGGCAGACCCTGTGGTGGTCCAGAGCTGGCCTTCCAGCATGGAGCATGTGCTCAGCCCCCGGGCTGTCTCTCCAGTCCTGGGTTTCTGTCTTGACTCCTCCATAAGGAGAACGTAGCCTTAGAACACACTGAGGCCCATCAGTCAGCTAATTAGCCTCCTTCTGCCTCAGTTTTCATGTTCTGAAGGTGAGCCCCCCACCTCCAGTGAGATTCTTCAGATTGTTTCATGAGCTTAGAGCCCACCCCAGGTGTGTGTTCTTATATTTATCCCCGTGAAGGATGGTTTGGGTATCCGACTTACTATTATCATTTTGTTTTGGTTTGTTTGGCTACACCCAGTGGTACTCAGGACTTGCTCGTGGTGGGCTTAGGGACCATACATAGTGCTGGGTTTGCTTTGTGCAAGGCAAGTGCCCTACCCACTGTACTACCATCATCCTGGCCCCTCTCTGGCCGCTTTGGCCACTGAAGAGGGAATGGTAGGACTCCCTGGGTTGTTTAGATTCTTGTGATGCCACAGGCCAGTCATTTCTGAACCGCATGGTTCTCTGCTGGGTATTTGCTCAGGCCACGGGGATGATGGGAGGGAAGCCTATCCTGCCCTTTCTGACCCCAGCCCAGCAGTGGTGACTTGCTGCTCCAGGGCTGAAACCCTCTGGCATGATGTTTCAGGGCTGGACTTGAGGGAAATTGGGCCTCAGGTTTCAGCTGAATATACTTCCTTCCCTGCCGGTGGGGGAACTGAGTTTTGCTTTTAAATTTTTTCTTCTCTAGAGACTGGAGCAATAGCACAGTGGGTAGGGCATTTGCCTTGCATGCGGCCGACCCGGGTTCAATTCCTAGCATCCCATATGGTCCCCCAAGCACTGCCAGGAGTAATTTCTGAGTGTATGAGCCAGGAGTAACCCCTGTGCATCACCAGGTGTGACCCAAAAAGCAAAATGATAATAATAATTATGGCTTAAAATATTTCTTCTCTTTAGACTTGTTGCCCTTGCGGACCCCACGTTTTCTTGCTTGAGGAGGTCTCCTGTGTTGGCTCATGTGAGTTGGCGGGGTGGTGGGGATGTGGGAGGAAGAGGGGGAAGGGGCTGCCTGGAAGGGCTGTGTCCTGCTCTGGGATGTGACCCCTTTGCAAGATCTAAACGGAGAGTTCCGGGGACTGGGTGAAGCTGATGGGGGTGGGGAGTCCACTCACACCTGGGAGCCATTGATGCTCCCCCTGCCCTCCCCACCCCCATCTGGAACTGAAGAGAAATAGAGGATTCCTGTGTGTCCTCGGGGTGTGTCAGTGCTGTCCTGCACTCCACTCACAGGCTGAATCAGCAGGGAACTGTTTTACAGGCTGATTGCGCTGGGCCTGCCTCAGGGCCGGGCTGGGGTGGGGGAAAGTGTTTCTACTTTGTCGTTCCTACGTTGGACCCCCATGGCCAGGGTCTGGGGGGGCAGCAGTGGCCGCAGGGAGCCCTGTCAACCCCCCCCCCCCATTTTGTCTGCTAAGGGAGCCCTAGAGGTACTCTGGGATTGAGGGTGCGGGGTGGTGGCTGTTAGAACACCTTCCTGGGGGTGTAGTATATAGAGGGAGCGACCCCATCCCCATTGAAAGCAACCCCGTCCCCATTCAGGAGTTTTCCCCAGCAAACAGCAGGTGATTTATGGGCACGAGATGAACTCTGGGCTTTTCTGCCTCCCACTCTGAGAGGGCTGTGGCCTGTCAGTACCCTGAGCTGTTGGCTGTGCTGAGTGACATGAGTCCTGGGTGCAAGCATTTTTTTTTTCTTGGTGAAGCAAGAAAGGGTTTTTTCCCCCCCTTTTGGGTCACACCCGGCGATGCTCAGGGGTTACTCCTGGCTCTGCACTCAGGAATTACTCCTGGCGGTACTCGGGGGATCATATAGGATCCTGGGAATCAAACCTGGGTCAGCCATGTGCAAGGCAAACGCCTTACCCACTGTGTTATCGTTCCAGCCCCTGCAGCAAGAAAGTTTTGATTGAAACTTATTTAGAAACGTGTGAGGTGAGAAAGAGGGAGAAGTACACGTACCAGCGAGAAACAGGCTTCTCCAGAGTGGAAATAAGCAAATAGAGACAAACAAGCGAGTTACGTGTTCAAGGAAGAGCGTGGCCTTGAAGAGCAGCCGGTCTGTGCAGGCTCGGAGCAGGCCGCAGGAGCCAGGGAAGGTGGCGGAGGTGTGACTGGGCTCAGGGCCGCTCCTGCGGCCGCCTTCACTTTGTTTTCTACTGCACCCTGTCGCATTTCCTTCCTCTGAACCCTGATCCTCTAGCTTCGCAGCGGGGCCCACTGAGGCCGCTGTCAGTGAGCTTTTGGTGTCAGTGACCAGAGCCCCTTAGCAGGGCCCTGGGATAGAGACTCACTGCCAGCATCCTTCTGCCACAGTTTTTTTTTTTTCTTTTTGCCACATCTGGTGGTACTCAGGGATCCTATGAGGTGCCAGGGATTGAGGTGGCTGTGTGCACGGCAGGCCCCTTACCCGCTCTGTCCCCTCCACACTTTTTACCCATCTTCTTTGCTTGCTTTTCCCTGACTTTGCCACGTGGGTACATCAGCCCCCGTAAGGCCCTCTTGGCAGAGGTTTAAGGCCCTTTTGGCCCTTTGGAGGTGATGCCTGAGCTGCATGGTGCCTGGTGACTTCAGAATGGGCTTCAGGGGGCTGGAGTGATAGCACAGCGAGTAGGGCGTTTGCCTTGCACGCGGCCAACCCGGGTTCAAATCCCAGCATCCCATATGGTCCCTTGAGCATCACCAGGAGTAATTTCTGAGTGCAAAGCCAGGAGTAACTCCTGAGCACCACTGGGTGTGACCCCCCCCAAAAAAAAAATAACAAAACAGAATGGGCTTCAGGTTTCCAGCTGACACCCCCCGAGAGGCAGGGCCTGGGTAGTGCTTGTCCTGGAATTGGGTGGGGCTGGAGGGTGCTGTCAGCACTGGGGAACACAGTCTGTGTGGGGAGACTCCAGGCAGGGCTGCCCAGCCCCCCTGCCCACCTCTGTCCCCTCACTGCTTGTTCCGTCACCTGCTCTGTAAGACCGGTAGATCCCAGGTGTATCCTTCCCCCTGTGCCAGGCACGGTGACATGCCTGTCCCCTGTGCCTCTGTCTAGAATGAGCCAGCTGAGGTTGCTCTCCACCCGGCTCGGGGCCCAGGCTGTGCGCCTCCTCGTTCCCCGTGATGCCCAGGTGAGCAGCGGGCGCGGCAGGTCCTCGGGGCCCCCGGCCACCTTCCCGGGCAGCAGAGCTGGAGGCGGCTCCAGTTATATGGAGGAGATGTACTTTGCCTGGCTGGAGAACCCCCAGAGCGTCCACAAGGTCAGCAGCCTGCCCGGGGGGAGGTGGGGAAGCTCTGGCTGGGTTGTGGGGGCCACCGGGGGTCCTGTACTGGCTGCCCTGTGGCCTGGGGCAGCTGGTTTGCCTGTCAGTCTGCACTCCTGGTAGGCGAGAACCCGAGCACATGCTGGGTGGGTGGAGCATGTAGCTGTCCTGGGGCTGATGTGATGCTTCACAGTGCCCCGACCAAGGCAGGAAAAACTCCATATTGAAACCCTCCTCCCAGTGCTGAGCACTTACCGGCCTGTCCCCGGTTTATTCTTAGCTTCTTGCATATTCTTTCAGAGAGTTGGGTAAATTTACTGTAAACCTGACTCTGGATCGACACCTCCTCTTTTTAAATTTTTTTTTTTAATCGTGAGATCCAGTTACAAAGCTTTCATGTTTGAGTTTCAGACATACAATGATCAAACACACATCCCTTCACCAGTGCACATTTTCTACCACTAATGTCCCCAGTATCCCCCCCCCCCACATCCCACCCCTCCCCCTGCCTCCATGGCAGACAATTTTCCCCATCCTCTCACTCTATTTTTGGGCATTATGGTTGGCAGTACCATATTGCAAATGGGATACTGAGGCGATCACATTTGGTCCTTTTTCTTTCAGCACACATCTCCCATTCCAAACGATTCCTCCAACCATCATTGACTTAGTGATCCCTTCTCCCCCAGCTCGTGAGGGAGGCTTCCAACCATGGGGCAATATTCCTCGTGGATTGACCCCTTAAACACAATTGTAAATGGAATGGGTGCTCTCCTGCTCTAGGTTTATTTGGGGGGGGGGGGGTCGGGATGAGGGAGAAGCTGTATCCAGCAGTGCCAGCAGACCATATGGTGCTGGGAACTATGTGGAAGGGCCAAGTCCCAAACCTCAGCCTCCTTCATGCGAAACATGGACTCAGCGCTTTGAGCTTCCTCTCTGGCTCCTGCTCCAGTCTTTTCCTACTGACTCTATATATCCAGGATCTTCATCAAAAGCCTAGTTATTCCTTTATTTCCAGCTGCAGAGTATTCTGTGGCGTGGATATGCCACACCAGCTCCCCTGACAGGCAGCTGCCTCATTTCCCGTGTCCAGTTGTCATGTCAAGTGCACCAGTGCAGAGTCTTGTGCATTTGTTATCTGGCACATGGGCAGCTCTCTGTAAGATCGTTTCACCCCAGGTGGCATTATTTCCGGTCAATGTGTATTTGATCGTGTGTGCATTTAATTTCCAAAAGGGATTCCTCTGGGGTTTGGCCCCTCTAGCTCCCTGCTGCCATTGGCATGGGTGTGTGTGGAGGAAAGCACCCTGGCGTGTTTCCTTAGAGAGCATGGAGGTCCTTACGCTCAGGCCTGTGTACTTTTTGCTGCTACGCAGACAATGGCAGCCCTGTGCCTCTTCTCCAGTGTTCACAACCTGTGTTGGCAGCATTCCACATCATCAATACTCCTTGCCCTCCTATTTTTATAAAGGCCACTTAATCTTCTAGATTCTAAATGTGCCATTACTTAATCAGTTTCCTATTGATCACGGTTTAGGTGGGTTTTATGCTGTCATTTTTATAAACAGTCCCGAGGGAACCGTGGATGGGCATAGTTGTACATTGGCAGAACAAATGACTAGTGGCGGACTTGCTGGCTCCAAAGATGCCCATTGAACACACGGAGGGCCTGCCAGCAGATTGCCATCTCAGAGGCCAGCCCCGTTGACGGGGGTGGGAATGGCATGTTTCCCTAGGGATAGCGGCCCATTTCACACCTGAGGCCCCCAGGTCACACTTACAGCCTCCTCCAGCCCCTGCCAAGCTGGGTCTAAGAGGGAACTGGGTGGGTCTGTGGATTGGGGATGAAGGTCCTCAGAGAGGTCCTAGGAAATCCTGAGAGCTGGAGGAGGAATGGAACATCAGCAATGGAGGAGGGATGAACATCTGGATGGAGGAGGGACGGGACATCAACTATGGAGGAAGGACAGAACATCAGGATGGAGGAGGGATGAACGTTAGCTATGGAGGAAGGATGGAACATCAGCTACCTCCTGTGTCCCCAGCTTCTCCCAGGCCTTAACTTGGTGTTTTTTTTTTGTTTCTGCCCCTGCCCAGTCCTGGGACAGCTACTTCCGGAAAGCCAGCGAGGAGGCCTCTGGTGTGCCGGGTCAGCCACAAGCCCCGGCTGTCGTCTCTGAGAGCAGGCCCGTCATCTCCAGACAGGCCCAAACCAGCAAGCTGGTGGAGGACCACCTGGCCGTGCAGTCCCTGATCCGGGCCTACCAGGTGAGCGGCTGCGGCCCTGCGCGTGGGTGGGAGGGGGCTTCCTCGTTCTGTGGCTTCTCATCAGAGCACCTTCTGCCAAGTCCTCTATCCTTGTAGCTCCCTCCTCCTGTTACTCTGTTGAGCTACACCCCTGGCATTCTGTGTGTGTGCTGGTTGGTTTGTGGTCTCTATGTGGATGTTGCCCACCTCGCCTAGCACAGTCTCTCAGGTACCTAGAGGAGTACTTAGGAACGCATCGGTGGCAGGAAAGTCGAGTTGGTGGATTGGTTAATGGCTCTTGGTTGGAGCATTCCAAGGGGTCAGGGGCTGACGATGCTAGTAAGTATTTATGGGATGAGTGGATGGCTCAGTCAGATGCTCTGTGCTGGCCACTTAGACTGGGTCACTGGCCTGATAGTGCTCCGTGTTCTGTGTCTCACTGGAGGGCTCTGTGGGTGTTCACACCGTAATGGGTATCATTGGTGTGGGTCTCACTGGGAGCCAGTGAAAGAAGGTGTTTCACCGGAGAAACTCAACATGCAGGGGCGCAGAAGAATGGGCGAGGGCGCCCTGGCCCCTTGGCGGAGACCCCCGGGGAGGCAGCATGTGCCTGCCTGGCTGCAGGTGGGGTGGCAGGTGGGGCCTTAGCAAACGGAAATGGAGGCTTGTCTGTGGGCAGTGAGGAGTACTTCACGTTAGCTGCATTCCTGGGACCAGCCCCCTGGGGAAGGAGGCGGAAAGGTGAGGAGCTGAGTCCTGAATCCAGTCCCTTCCCTGGCCTCAGGCCCCCTGGATTGGGGCCACTTGTGAGTCAACCTTGCTAGTTTAATTGGATTTTCACTGGCTGGCTGAAAGAAGCAGAAAGTTCTCCAAGCAGAAACTTGGAGAACAAAACCCCAGATAACCAGGAATGTAGAACTCTGAAATACAAAGTAGCCTTCTGAGTGCAGGCCTTATCTGTCCAGCATCATTCCCAGAGCTGCTGCTGCTCTTTGTCCTTTCACGAACCAGACCCCTGCAGGAGAATCTGTGACTGGCTAAGCTTGATTAAGGCCTGTGGAAGCGGAGCCTGACCTCTGCAAGCTTCCACGGGGGTAGCCAATAGGAAGCAGAGTTCTGGGTTAATGCATTTGTACTTACTATTAAAAATAAATAATTCCTAAACCTGTTCTGGGCAAGTTCAAGCGATGTGTTGCTCCTTTGCGGGATGGGGGTGGGGGAGGGTGTGCTTGGACTCAATTAGTCTAAGTTCTCTCACTTATGTTGCAGTGCTTTAGCTCTTAGCTCTCTCCCCAGACCTGGAGAAGAGAATCATTTTTTTTCTTTTTGGGTCACACCTGGTGATGCACAGGGGTTACTCCTGGCTCTGCACTCAGGAACTACCCCCGGCAGTGCTCAGGGGACCAGATGGGATGCTGGGAATTGAACCCGAGTCGGTCGCATGCAAGGCAAATGCCCTATCTGCTGTGCTATCACTCCAGTCCCTGGAGAAGAGAATCTTAACTCACTTGTTACTTCCCCCTCCACTGGAGAGCGGTTATTATTATTTTGTTTAATAATTACTGTATTTATTCCATGCCCCCCCCATTCAATCATGTATTTTTTTTTTGAGTCACCATGAGATACACAAGGGCAAAGCTGTTCATTTGTTCATGATCAGGTTTCAGTCATACAATGATCCAACATCCATCCCTCTACCAGTGTCCATTTCCCACTACCAATGACTGTAGTTTCCTCCTGCCATCCTCCTCCTGCCATCCGCCTCCCCCCCCCCCCCCCCCCCGCCTCTGGCTCAATGACAGGTACTTTCTTCTGGAGAGCAGTTGTTTACATATCCTGTTGGTATCCGTGTTTGCCTGTCTGTCTCAGAATTTCTTTTTGCTGCCTGTTTGAACAGGATCAGGATCCAAAGAAAGCCACAACTTGTGACAAGTTGAAATGGTCCTTAAGCCTCTTATGCTCTGCAGGTGCCCTTCCGTGTCTTGCCTCCCCCAGGAGACCAGGTTGTTTGTCCTGTAGCCTTTTGAGTCTGGAGTTGGCTGATTGCATCCCCATGGTGTTCCTTCGTCTGTGTCCCTTGGAATTTCTGTAAATAGGTAGTAAGATCTAGAAGCTTGATCCAATATAGATTTGACTTTCTGTTGTTGTTGTTTTGAAATCAGCTTCCTGGGGGTGATGGGCGCTTCATCATTTAGCGGCTAGGGATGACTAATTCATCCTGGACACATTAACTCATTAGGGGTAGTTAAAAAAAAAGTGACTTTCTATTTTTGTCTTTGTTTATGACATAAAATTACTTCCATCAGGAAAAGGTTTTCTTTATCAACTCATTTTATACCCTGAATTTGAATTGTCTAGGAGCGGTAGGATCAGTCTTTCATATTTCTGTTCATTGACTTTCATTCTGTTCTTTTCCATTTATCTCTTCTTTTCTCTTTTGTTCTTTCATGCTAGGAATCAAACCCAGACCAGTGGTGACCCACACATGCAAGACCAGTGCTTTAGCACTGAGCCACGTCTCTGCCCCCTGATTTTCAAAATTAGGAGGTTCCTCATACCCTCCACAGATGGCCAGTGAAGGCTTTCATTTTTTGAGTAGGGTGTGAATTTAGACATATTGATGAGTTTGTCTGGTCAGGTACTGTCCTTAGCATGACTCCTACCGTATCCTGGATCCCAGCTTCATTTGCTGCCCCAGTGCTCCAATCTCCTCTTGCATCTGCTCGTCCCTGATACCAGTCACTCTCCAGGGAGTGCTGAGTATTTGCTGCATTTTGATCTCAGTAATAATTTCAGGGGCCTTTCAGTGATTCGAGCCAGGAACTCTGTGTGTGTGTGTGTGTCTGTATGTATGTCTGTGTGTCTGTGTTTAAAGTAAAACATACTGGGCTGGAGCAATAGCACAGCAGGTAGGGCATTTGCCTTCCATGCGGCCAACCCGAGTTCGATTCCCAGCATCCCATATGGTCCCCCAAGCACCGCCAAGAGTAATTCCCGAGTGAAGAGCCAGGAGTAACCCCTGTGCATCGCTGGGTGTGACCCAAAAAGCAAAAAAAAAATGTATACACACACATATATATATATATTATATAACATACTTTATGGGTTTATACTGAAGCTTTTACACACTTCAATGCAGGAATTAAGGTTTGTTCTTGATTTCCTTTCCTTTTCAAAATGCTGAAAGCAGGGGCCTGTTACATAGCTCAGTGGGCCAAGCACATGCTTTGTCTGTGGGAGGACTGAATTTGATGCCCTCCCGCATACTTCGTGCACAGAGCTAGGAGTAGCCTCTGAGCACTGCCAGAGCACAAACCATGTGCTCCAGCCCTTCGAGCACATCTCCCCAGTCTTATTTCAACTTTGATTTATTTGGAGTCTTAGGGGTCACGCGTGGCTGTGCTCAGGGATTTCTCCTGACTCTGCACTGAGGGATGATTCCTGGAAGAGCTCAGGGGACCACAAGTGGTGCCCGGATCAAATCCATGTTAGCTGCATACAAAGCTAGTGCAAATATCCTCCATACTAGCTCTCTTTCCCTCTTACGTTCAGCTTTTAAAATTTAGTTTTGTTTTATAGCGACATATCTGCCAGGTTTCAAAGTTCAGAGAGTTTGGTGTGGGGGCTATACCTGATGGTGCTGAGGGACAACTCCTGCCCTGTGCTCAGAGCTCAGTCCTGGTGGTGCTTAGGGGACCGGCAGTGCCAGGACTTGAACCCAGCCCTCCTGCTCGCCAGCTCCCAGAGTCACATCTTCCAGGGAGACGGGGCCTTGAAAGTCCAGCTCCTAGCCCTGCTCTTTTCTGTCCTTTCTTTGTTTCTCATTTTCTGGTTTGCTCACTTTGCAATGTATTCTTCTAATATATAAGTTTGTGTTTACGTTGATTAAAAAAAAGTTTGCATTAATTAGATATGCAGATTCAGGTACAAGTGTATACAGTTGCATAATTTTTACTCATAACTCCCTCTTTAGACAATAGGTCATAGTTTTCTGTGATTTGCTTCTTTTTGCTTAACACAGAGTCTGCCTTCCCTCCCTCCCTCCCTCCCTCCCTCCCTCCCTCCCTCCCTCCCTCCCTCCCTCCCTTCTTTCTTTCTTTCTTTCTTTCTTTCTTTCTTTCTTTCTTTCTTTCTGTGTGTGTGTGTTTGGGCCACACCTGGCAATGCTCAGAGCCTATTCCTGTCTCTGCACTCAGAGCCTGACAGTGCTTGGGGATGCTGGGGATTGAACCCAGGGCAGCTACATGCATGGCAAGTGTCTTACCCGCTGTACCATTGCTCCAGCCCTGAGATTATCTTCATTTCTTTTTTTGTTTGTTTTTTAGGTTTGAGGTCCAAGCCTGGCAGTGCTTAGGGAGTTGTTCCCAGCTCTATGCTCAGGGGTCCCTACTGGCAGTGCCAGCAGGGACCATGTGTGGTGCACGGAATTGAACCCAGCCTCCCACATACAAATCATGTACTTGGTCCATTGAGCGAGCTCTCCATCCTTCTTTCGTTTCTTTTGAAAGCTGTGTATTCTTCCCCTGCACGAACTTCCTTTATCCACTGCTGGTATGAGGTGTTGAGTTTCATGATTCCTTGTACTGGTGGTGCATTTTGGTGTATCTCTTATTTTTCTATTTTTTTGTCTTTATTTTTGGTTTTGGTTTTTGGGCCATACTCGGCAATGCACAGGGGTTACTCTAGGCTCTGTAATCAGGAATTACTCAGGCTTGGGGGACCATATGGGATGCTGTGGATTAAACCCGGGTGAGCCGCATGCAAGGCGGGTGCCCTGCGCACTGTACTATCTTTCCAGCCACCCTCTTCTTTCCTGTATTTGAAAATTTCTCTTGAGGAGATGAGCTCTTGCCACCCTGGTGGCCTCATTCATAACTGGGAGCATCTGGGCATTTGGACACATGGAACCTGGGAATTGGAAAGCAGCGAGTGAGGGCCGGGCCCTGGAGCCTGGATCCAGCTGCTTCCTTTCTCCCCCTCTCAGATTCGAGGCCACCATGTCGCCCAGCTGGACCCCCTGGGCATTCTGGATGCAGACCTGGACTCTTTTGTGCCCTCGGACTTGATAACTACTATCGACAAACTGGGTGAGAGTCGGCGCCCTTTCCCCTGTGCTCTCAGCGCTAGAGGCAGCTGCCATCTGTGCCTGGGAGGAGATGGTGTAGCCTCTGGGTCGGGGCCCCGTGTGCAACTTGAGCATCCCTGTGCGGCCCTCTCAGCTTCCCTAGCAGGCCCCTTGCTCAGCACTCCAGAGAAATGTGCCCGAGACCCCCCTCCTGGCCAGCCCCAGACTCTTCCCCTTGCCACTCAGGGCTCTTGAGGTCTCAGCTAGCACGAGGGAGCAAGGCAAGGGGTGGTGGTGGGGGGTGGGGCTTATTGAGAGGTCTGGGGATGCTGTCGAGCCCCAACCTGGCTACATGGTACATCCTCAGCCTTCTATGACCTGCGGGAGGCTGACCTGGATAAGGAGTTCCAGCTGCCCACCACCACCTTCATCGGGGGCGCGGACAGCACCCTCTCGCTGCGGGAGATCATCCGGCGCCTGGAGGTGAGCGCGGGCTGGTGAGGGGAGGCCCCTTGGCCGATGGCTAGCAGGGAGCTACCCTTCCCAGTCCGGAAGCCAGGACTCCTCCTGGACTCCCCACCTACCACCCTATCCCCGCCTCTAGAACACCTACTGCCAGCACATAGGCCTGGAGTTCATGTTCATCAATGACGTGGAGCAGTGCCAGTGGATCCGGCAGAAGTTCGAGACCCCCGGCGTGATGCAGTTCTCCAGCGAGGAGAAGCGGACACTGCTGGCCCGGCTGGTGCGCTCCATGAGGTCAGGCCCTCAGCACCGCCCTGGCGTCCCCCACTGGCCTGGTCTGCCACGGGGGTGGTGGAGGTGTCCCAGCGAGGGAACCTGGCCTAGGGAAGAGGAGACTGGCTGGAAGGACAGGCACACCTAGGGAGCCCTTTCTCTCCTGGCCACCCCCAACTTGGACGAGGCCCTCCTGAGGGACCCAGTGCTCAGACAGACCTGGGGGAGGGGGATGAGATCCTCATAGTGTGGGGAGGGGACAGCGAGTGGCCTTGGCAATGTGAGGCAGGAAGATGTCCCTCTGTGGAGAGAGAGGGGTGTTCCTGCTGCGGGCGGGCCACTGCCTGCCTCTGCCTGCTGGACTTCTCGGCAGCGGGGGAGACCTTGACGTGCACCTGGTCTGGCCTCTGGGTGCAGAGGGGATCAGGGCAGTGGCCCGCACGCCGGAAGTAGAGCTGTGCTTAATAGTCTTTCCAGGGTGGGGGTGCAGGAGTGATGAAGGTGGGCTGGGTGTATTGGCGGCTGTTGGCAGTTATGAGACCAGAAGGGTGGAAGGTGGTTGTCGGGAAAGGTACCGGCACAGATCTTCCCTGCGATGGGGTAAATTCTGACCTCCTTCCCCCCTGGTGCTCGGTGGAGTGGGAGCACCCCAATGTCTGAGCCAGGAGCCAGATTTTTCCAGGGGTGGCGGCTGCGCAGCTCTCTGTGTTTCGGGCAGCCAGCCCCCAGCCCTGGTGAGGGACCCTCCTCCACCCCTCAGACCCTGACGGCCCCAGACTCTCCATCCTTTCCCATCTCCTGCCTGCAAGCAGGTTCGAAGACTTCCTGGCCCGGAAGTGGTCCTCAGAGAAGCGGTTCGGCCTGGAGGGCTGCGAGGTCATGATCCCTGCGCTCAAGACTATTATTGACAAGTCCAGTGAGATGGGGATTGAGAACGTCATCCTGGGCATGCCTCACAGGTGGGCTCCTCTTCCCCTGCCCCCAAAATCAGATGTGTGCAGACTGTTTCTCTCTTACCTGTGTTGTCCCTGTGCCCACGAGGGTCAGGGTTTCAGAGAAGGGCTGTACTTTTTTGAGGTTCCTGTGGACAAGGAGGCACGGAGTTGACCTGTCCCGGAGTGTCAGGCAGGGCTTGGGCCCTCAGCCCTGCCTTGGCTCCTTCCTCTGCAGGGAGGTGAGCTCAGGCCCCTCTCTTGGCTTTCGGCCCGCTGCTTTGACCTTAATAGAAACCTGGATGGCTGCTAAGCAACGGGGCAGTTCCCACTGAGCTGGAGCCTGTGGCTGATGGGAAGAGCCTGGGCTGAGAGGCCGGGGTTTCCTGGGGTCCTGCTGAATGGGCCGTGGGAAGTTTGGACCAGCTGGTGTTTCCTGTAACTGCTGCCAGATGCTTCCATCTGAGTCCACTTGGACACCTTTCTGGTTTTGTTTTTTTTGGGGGTTTTTTTTGGCCACCTGGTGGTACTCAGGGTTTACTCCTGACTTTGTGCTCAGGAGTCACTCCTGGAGGGCTTGGGGACCCTATGGGATGCTGGGGACTGAACCCAGGTCAGCCACATGCAAGGCAAGTGCCCTACCCACTGTACTATCCCTCCAGCATCCCCTGGACGCCATTGGTGCGAGGGTCCTCGGACTGCTTGGTGTTGGGGTGCTGGTGGAGGCAGAGCTTCTGGTGAACTGCAGTGGCATCAGCAGAGCTGGGAAAGTTGGCAGGGGTGGTGCTGGGCAGGCTCCTGGCTAAGGAGGCAGCCATGAGCTGACGGGGATTCTGGGCCAGGCCTCCACAGAGGGTGAGGTAGCTTTGCTTAGAGGGGTCGGGGTGTCCGTCCTGCCCACCCAGGGGAGGACTACCCTTCTGGGCACAACCCCTCAGGGTAGGAGGCCAGACCTAAGGTGGGTGCCTGCTGCTGGGGACTGAGGCATCTCTTGGTACCCACCACAGTATAATGTGCATCGTCAGTGGAACGTTCCAGACCGGGGAACTCTCAGTCCCCGTCACACCTCAGCCCTGAGCTGGGCTCCTTCTGGTGACTCCTGACCTTAGTTACGGTCATTCCTGTCTCTTCCCTGTTCCGCTGCCCTGTGCAGAAGTGGGTGATGGTGCTGTGGATGCCACTGTGGTATGTTGTTAGCAGGTGGGGCTCAAAGTACTTACTGGGTCAGGCTCCCTTTTGGGGAGGTCGGGGGGACAGCCGTGGGGTTGGGTGGCATCCTGCTCATCTGAGCCACCTGCCCCGCCCGCTGGGACTCAGATGGCCCGTGTTGTCTGCCCGGGGAGCTGGCGTGCCAGGCCCACTCACGGATGGTCTCGCAGCTTGAGACAGAACAAGAGGGTCGGAGCATCAGCTCTCCCATGTTTATTCTGCAAGAAACTGGGGGATTCTGTCTGGGAGGGGGGTTGTGAACACCCATACCCCCTTTTCCAGGGGCAGGCTCAACGTGCTGGCCAATGTGATCCGCAAGGACCTGGAACAGATCTTCTGCCAGTTTGACCCCAAGCTGGAGGCGGCGGATGAGGTGGGTGCCAGACCGTGGAGCTCCCGGGGAGGGGGGCGGGGCAGGTATTTAGGACGTGCCCGGGAGGAGGGGCTGGGTCAGGAGCCTCAGGGCTCACAGGGACCTGGAGAGTGACAGCCACATGGACGTGGACGAGAAGGAGAGGCTGGGATGTCTGCCTGAGTTACCTCCAGCTGCCTCCCTTGGAGAATCTGGGCCAGCCTCCCTGTTCACACCTGGGGAAGTGGAGGCCCAGGACCGTGCCTCAAGCCATTCATCGCTGTTTCTGCTCCTCAGTTCCCCTGCCCAGGACCTCCATTCACTTGTCTGGGATGTGTCCTGTGCCTAGAGAGGACTAGACCAGGCGCATTTCTGCCTCACCCCTGCCTGGCACCCGTGCTTGCCCCACTGCCCGCACCCTTGCCCATACTGGGGCCTCTGCCCCTCTCTCCTACTCTGCTTCCCCTGTGGACCTGACCATCAAAGCAAACCTGTCCCTCCTTCCTCCGTCTTCAGTGCTATCTTGTTCTGGCCTTCAGGGGTGTGTCTGTGTTTGTGTGTTCTGGCTTTCTCCAGGTAATGTGCATGTTGTTGCCTGTATGAGTGTATTTGTGCATACATGTGTGTGTGCATGTGTGTGTGTTCAGGCCTTCTCCAAGTATGTCTGTGTGAGTGTGTGTGCGTGTGGGTGTGCTCTGACCTTTAGATATGTGTATGTGTGAGTGTGTTGCATGTGTGTTCTGGCCTTCTCCAGGTCCCTATGTGAATGTGTGTGTGTGTGTGTGTGTGTGTGTGTTCTGATTTTCTCCAGGTATGTGTGTGTGTTTGTGTTTGTTCAGGCCTTCTCCAGGTATATGTGTGTGTATGTGTGTGTGTGTGTGTGTGCGCATATGTGTCTGTTCTGACTTTCTTCAGTCTTGTGTGTGTGCACATGCCTGTGTCAGCCTGGAGAGGGAACATCCTCAGTTCCTAGCACTGGCGCTTGCTTCATTCCAGTGAGTGACATTATATGACTTCTCCAGTCCCCCAGTGTGGCAGCTCCGAGCAGAATCCACATTAGAATCCACACACTAGAATCCACATCCACTGCCTCTTTAGCCTATAATTTTCCCTCAGTCACATTCATTTTGCTGAATCTACTTCCTATCTCAGAGCCTCATTTTGCTCTTCTGTAAAATGGGGGTCAGGGAACCTGTTTTCCAGGTGGCCATGAGGAGTGAAGGAGATGCACGTGTCACTGTGAAACCTGGCAGAGAGACCCTAAAATAGGAGGGTCTTTTTACAGAAAAAGAAGTGTGAGCTTTTTAAATTTTTAATGAACACCTTGAAGGAAATAAATTTCCTCTGGTGTGACTCCCTTTCTGGATCTTCTGAGGTGCTAACGTGGGCAGTTTTTTGTTTGTGGGAAGTTGTATGTATACTTCTGGAAAGTTCCACATGGATTGTTTTTTTGTTTGTTTTTCTTTTGGGGTCATACCCAGTGATCCTCAGGGGTTACTCCTGGCTCATGCTCTCAGGAATTACTCCTGGCGGTCCTCGGGGGACTGTATGGAATGCTGGGAATTGAACTCAGGTCGGTAGCATGCAAGGCAAATGCCCTAGCCACTGTGCTGTCGCTCTGGCCCAAGTTCCACATTGATTGGAACATGCCTGTTTGGCCAGGACTGCCCTGCGCCCTGACCCTGCTGTGCATCTTGAGTGTGTTGTCAGAGCCGCCAGAGCCCCTGTGGCATGCACTGTCCCTTTGGGTGGATGCTCCTGGCCGGAGTGAGTGTCTGGGGGCGTCTGAGTGACGTGGGTGAGAGCTGCATCACCCTGCAACAAACTTGCAGGCCCCCGAGACCACAGTGGGCTGTGCTGGTCTCGTCCTACCTCGCTCTCCACTCTTCCTGCCTCTGTTGCCGTGGAGCGGAGCAGGACCAGATTTCACCTTGCTGCTTCGGGTGCAGTGGGGTGATCTTTTCACATGTCACTAGCCGCATCTTATTTCTTTCGCTGTCAAATTCCTCCTCGTGGCTTTTGCTCATTTTCCTCTGGGGCTTGGTGGCACACGCAGGTATAAAGGGGATTAGTGCTCTCTCGGCATCTGTCTTAGAAATACCGTTCTGGGCTTGATGTTTCTGCCTGTTGACACTGCGCCTGGATTTGCTTCTCCCGTGATAAGTCGATTGCATTCCAGCCGTCTTCCCATTCTTGGCTTCTGAGGTTTCTCTCTCCGTTGTTCAGAAAGGCTTTTCCCCATCCCGAGGTGGTCAAGTTGTCGTGTTTCCCTCTGCGCGGTGGCTTTGCCTGTTGTGTGTGTCATTGTCACTCTGAAGAGGGACTTGGGTAGGAATCCTGTGTCTTAGCATTCCGAGGACCCCTCCCCGGTCTGTGCTGTCACGGCAGCCCTTACTCCTTGCCTCTCTGCCGCCATTGATGCTGGGAGAGCCGGGCCTCTGGTGACTAGCCTCTCAGCCAAGGCCTGGAGGGCAAGGTGGGGAAAGGGGGTGGGAGTGTCTCAGGGACAGCATGATCTTTCTTGTGCGAAAGATCCTGGGAGGGTCCAGGCGCCACTGGGGGTTGGGGGCGGGGGATACACTCATGGTGCTCAGAGGCTGCTCTGGCTTTGGGCTCAGGGGTCACTGCTGAGGGTGCTGGGGGTTGAACTTGAGGCTCCCATGTGTGAAGCATGTGCTCCGTCCCTTTGAGCCGTCCCCTCGTCTGTCTGTCTGTCTGAGAAGGGAATGGGAGCGGGGGTGCTCCTCACAGGCCCCCTCCACTTGCAGGGCTCTGGAGACGTCAAGTATCACCTCGGCATGTACCACGAGAGGATCAACCGTGTCACCAACAGGAACATCACGCTGTCGCTCGTGGCCAACCCCTCGCACCTGGAAGCCGTGGACCCGGTGGTTCAGGGGAAGACAAAGGCGGAGCAGTTCTACCGCGGGGACGCCCAGGGCAAGAAGGTGAGTCACTCTGGAGCCAAGGAGAGGATGCCGATTTGGAGGTCTGGGGTTTGGGTATTGGGCTCTGGGGCCAGCCTCCAGCTCTCTTCCCTGCAGGGGGCAGGGCTGCCTCTCAGGCCCGGGGTCCCCCCCGTCCCCGCCACTCCCCGGCACTCCTCTTGGCTCATTTTCTGCCTCGCAGGTCATGTCCATCTTGGTCCACGGGGATGCCGCCTTTGCCGGCCAGGGTGTGGTCTACGAGACCTTCCACCTGAGTGACCTGCCCTCGTACACCACCAATGGCACCGTGCACGTCGTCGTCAACAACCAGGTGAGGGCCCGGCTGCCTCCGTTGTGTGTCTAGGCAGTGCCAGGACCCATGAGGAGCCGTTCCGGCTTCTAGCCCCGCTGCTCTGGGGCTTCCCGGCGGGTGACCTTGAGCAGGAGGCCTGCCGTCCCCCATTCTCGGTTTTCCCCCCACAACAGCAGAAATCACGCCTCTTCCCCCAGGACCTAGAGTGCTAGTCCGGTGGGTAGGGCGTTTGCCTTGCACGTGACCTACCCAGGTTCAATCTCTGGCATCCCATATGGTGCCCCAGCACCGCCAGGAGTAATTCCTGAGTGCAGAGCCAGAGGTAACCCTTGAGCATCGCTGGGTATAACCCAAAAAGGAAAAAAAAAAAAAGCCTCTTCCCCAGTGCCATGCAGTTGGTGTTCAGAGAGATGGGCATTGTCTGGACACATTTTGCCACTCACCAAAGGGGAATTTTGGGTTTTGTGTTTATTTTATGGGGGGGGGGGAGTGAGGCCACACCCAGCAGTGCTCAGGGCTTATTCCTGGCTCAGTGCTCAGGGATCACTCCTAGCGGCTCTCATGGACCTTACGGGGTGCCGAGGGTGGTCGAACCTGGGTTAGCTGCATGCAAGGCAAACACCTGCCCACTGTCCCCACCCACGGAAAGCGGCCAATGAGGAGCAGACCCCCAGGTCAGGGTGGTGCTGCTATTCCTGGTGCGCAGCTGCCGAGTCCGATTTTGGGGCCCTTCCCTGCTCCTCCATCCCATTTGGTATGGGTGGCTTGGACACCCTCGAACACCCCTGAAGGACCACTGATGCCCCACCCGAGCCCCTCGGCCCTCTGCCCACTCAGGCAGGCACCCCTCTTGGGAGCTCTAAAATGGGAGCCTGCCACGCCTCCTGCTTTGCAGATCGGCTTCACCACGGACCCCCGCATGGCCCGCTCCTCGCCCTACCCCACCGACGTGGCGCGTGTGGTGAACGCGCCCATCTTCCACGTGAACGCAGATGACCCCGAGGCCGTGATGTACGTGTGCAGTGTGGCGGCCGAGTGGAGGAACACCTTCAACAAAGACGTTGTGGTCGACCTGGTGGGTCTGGGGGCCGGGATGGGGCCTCGCGGGGGAGGGGTTGCCGTGTTTCAGGCCTCGAGGGCTGGAAGGTTTTCTATGGAAGGTGCGGAGCCCTGGAATATCAATCTACGCCCAGGCTGGGGGTGGTATTCAGGGGCCGGTGGTTGTGGGGGGCTGCCAGGCATGCCCCAGTTGTGAGGTGCTGATGCCAGCCGCACTGCCTGGGGGTGGGGGCAGGGAGCGATCTGGTCCCCCACCACCTACCGCCAGGTCCCTGCAGGTCTGTTACCGCCGACGCGGCCACAACGAGATGGATGAGCCCATGTTCACGCAGCCGCTCATGTACAAGCAGATCCACAGGCAGGTGCCCGTGCTGAAGAAGTACGCAGACAAGCTCATCGCCGAGGGCACCGTCACCCTGCAGGAGTTTGAGGTGGCTGGGCCGGGGACTGAGCAGGGACCCTGTGGAAGTGGTGGCCAGTGTCATGCTGGGTGCTGGTGACTGAAAGCAGCCGCCAGTGGTGTCGAGGTTCCCCAAGAGCCCCATATTTAAGGAGGGAGAGGCACATTTGCACTCTGAGATGAACAGATGCTGCCATGTGGGCAAACAGAGTCCAGGAAGGCTTCCTGCAGGCGGTGGCCCTGAATCACCTTTGTCCTTGAGGTCCTTTACGGATGTGTAGTCGTCTCATCTTCAGGGCAGCACTGACGATGACTCTTTCCTGCTTGAACACACAGCAAACACTCTGCCCCCTACCCCCACCCCACGCCTTGGTGTACCTGCCCAGGATCCACTTGAACTCAGACTTCAGCCTCTGGCTACAGGGTGCTGCAGGCCAGCTGGATGGAGAGCCCTAGGCTTGGCGTGGGCCTTTGGCTGCCCCAAGCCTCACCTACCCCCACTTCTCGTCTCAGGAAGAAATCGCTAAATACGACCGGATCTGTGAGGAGGCCTATGGCAGGTCCAAGGACAAGAAGATCCTGCATATCAAGCACTGGCTTGACTCGCCGTGGCCTGGTGAGCCGGCGGGGTGGGGCGGGGCGGGCAGTCCCCAGCTCAGAGGCCGCGTGGGGTGCGCCCTTGCAGCTGGGGAGTGGACGGTGGATCCAGGGGAGCCAAGCAAGACAGCATGGCTTTTCCGGGACCTGTGTCCACTGCGGTGCTCTGGGAAGAGAGAACTGAGCGAGGCCAGGGCTCGTGAAGGGGAAGCCCTAAAGCAGGGTGCCGGGGACCGCTCGGGGGATGGGGCCGATGGCTGTGACCCCACCACCGGGAGGCCGGGGTTGGAGCCAGAGTTGGAACTGCTCCCCGTGGATCTTCACCCGGTTGTGTCGGGGGTGCCTGCTGGGGGCAGGGGATCGAGGGGGGGTGTCCTGAGGCACCGGGGCTCTGAGGCTCCACACCGCCCAGAGTGCACAGTCCCTGTCCCCTCAGGCTTCTTCAACGTGGACGGGGAGCCCAAGAGCATGACGTGCCCCTCCACCGGCATCTCCGAGGACATGCTCACGCACATCGGCACCGTGGCCAGCTCTGTGCCCCTGGAGGACTTTAAGATCCACACAGGTGAGTGGATGAGATGCACGGCTGTCCCCACCTGCTCGCTGGTGGCTCAGCTGCAGGCGAGATGCCCAGGATGGCAGTACCTCTCGGCACTGGCCTAATGATGCCAGTACCTCTCGGCACTGGCCTAATGATGCCTTGCCCAGGGGTGCTGGCAGCCAGGCTTGCATGTACCACATCCCTTGGGTTTCCCCAGGGCCTTTGCCAGGACCGAGAAGAAGGAGCTCCCCATGGGGGCGCGGGGGCCTGGGCCAGGACTGTGTGTGGGAGGCCGGCAGTGCTGGGCTGCTGGGCTGTGCTGGCCACTGGACTCTGCTCAGGTGGCCTGCGGGAAGGCCATGGTTACAGGAGCGGCTTGACTGCCCCATCCCCCATCCCCACCATGGTTACAGGAGCGGGGCCCCTGCAATTCACACCCTGAGACCAGCCTGTGGGAGTCCAGGGGATCCTCTCTAGTGTCTGCAGAGGCCCAAGTGTCCTGCGGTCTCTGTTCTGAATCTGTGTGGTGTGGGCCTGCGAGAAGCCGGTTCCATGCAAGCACACTGACCGCTGTGATGGTGACTTGGTGACTCGGTAACCGTCTTCCCTGTGGGGCTTTGAGAAAGGGCCCAGCTCTGTGCCGTCTCCTTTCCGCACAGAGGAGAGGCTGTGGGGATGGGGCAGTCAAGCCGGCCCGGGTTGCTGGAGCTGAGGTAGCCGGAGACAGCTGTCCACACCTTGGGCCGGGGGAGGGTTGCGCTGTGCCTTAGTGATCCCAGGCAGGCTGGTCCTTTTCCCCCACAGGCCTCTCCCGCATCCTGCGAGGCCGTGCGGATATGACCAAGAACCGGATGGTGGACTGGGCGCTGGCGGAGTACATGGCCTTCGGCTCCCTGCTCAAGGAGGGCATCCACGTGCGGCTCAGTGGGCAGGATGTGGAGAGGGGCACGTTCAGGTGGGGGCAGCTCCAGCTCCTGGGGCTGGGGCCAAGTGTCCAGGGAGCTGCGTGGGGTCAGCTCAGAACTATAGGGCAGAACTGGCCCTCACTCTTCTCCCTGACCGCTCCTGGGGAGCCTGGACAGGCCCTTATCTGGCCTGTCGGTCACCCCTCACCATCCCCAGGCCCTGTTCATGGGCCAGGCCGGCAAGACCCACGGGGTTCCCTCGCTGACCCCCGGGGGGTCAGGGAGAGCTGATTGCTTGGCCGGAGAGGCTGGTGGGTTTGGGCCTCTTGGCTGCTGGTCTCCAGATTCTGTATATGAGAACTGCCCCCAGCCACTCCCCCCATCTCGCTGCTGTTGCGTTTTGGGGACCGGATGCAGGACTTGGGCCAGTTCTGCCCAGGACATGTTGTCTGGTGGGCCCCAGTGTTTGGGACCTGGTGGGGTCGCTGCCCTAGTGAGGGGCGGTGGACTGTGCTTTAGCGTCATGCTCACATTCACCGTCACGCTCACGTCCCTTTTCCATGACATAGCTGCTCTACTCCCCTCGGGTCCATGTGCTCCCCCTCACCCTGCTCAGGCCTCTTTTTGTGAAGGGCCTTTGCAGGACCGGCAGGGATGACCCGGGGGGAGGGGTGACCTTTGGGGGAGGTTTCAGTCTCCACCCTTGCGGGGTCCTTCAAGAGTCCTTTCTGTGGGTGAGACGCAGAGACCCTCACATCTGTGCTCAGGCCACAGTGCAACTGTGAGGCCCTGGGGGTGAGGGGGGTCCTCGGTTCGGGCATGGTGAGGACCTGCTGCCTCTCCCCTGCAGCCACCGGCACCACGTTCTCCATGACCAGGAAGTTGACCGGAGGACCTGTGTCCCCATGAACCACCTGTGGCCAGACCAGGCACCCTACACTGTGTGCAACAGCTCCCTCTCGGAGTACGGAGTCCTGGGTGCGTCCCAGCGCTGCCTGCAGCCCACAGAGCCCCGGGTGGTGTCCCCTTGGCCCGGGAGCAGCCCTGAGGGTCTGGGGGCTCCCAGCATCAGGGGACCAGACTAGGTGTGGTAGAGACCACTGTGGCCAGACCCGCAGACTGACCTGTGTCTGGCCGACGCCTGCCACATTCCCGACTTCCGAGTGCCTCTTCTATAACTGAGCCCAGTTGCCCTGACCCGAGATCCTCTCCGCCGCTCTGATATTGGGGTCGCGCCTCGCATTCTCCTCCCACTTTTTGCAGTCCCCTGTGTGAGGAGGCGTTTCCTGCCCCTTCTCTGAAGGATTCCGGGAGGGGCCTTTGCCCAGCCGCTGCTCCCTGCTCCGGGGCTCAGGCCCTGGGGCTGCTCAGGCCTGAGATCAGGGCGGCATGGTGGGAGGAGGAGGAGGAGGAAGAGCCCTCGGGATGCTCCTGGCTGGAAGGGAGGTGCATGCGGCTCAGCCTCTGTGTCCTCTCTGCAGGCTTTGAGCTGGGCTACGCCATGGCCAGCCCCAACGCACTCGTGCTCTGGGAGGCCCAGTTTGGCGACTTCCACAACACGGCCCAGTGCATCATCGACCAGTTCATCAGCACCGGCCAGGCCAAGTGGGTGCGGCACAACGGCATTGTGCTGCTGCTACCCCACGGCATGGAGGGCATGGTGAGGCCCGTGCCGGGGGCTGGAGCAGGGTGGGCAGCCTGCTGGCACCGGCATTGTCCCGGCGGAGGACAGCCACGAGGAACCTGCTCCTGTTGACTCGTCTGGGAGCTTGCTTGGCACCAGGCTCAGTTTCAGACTTCCCCCTGGGGGGAGCAGCTCTTCCATCCCCAGGACTGCCTCGCGAAGCCGCCCCTCCTCCTGCTGTTCGGATGAGGGCACGGGTTCAGAGAGCTGCAGTAGTTTGCCTGAAGTCACACAGCTTGGAGCTGTGTTGTACCCTGTACTGCGTGTGCCTCCTTGGGTTCCCCCTGGGGTGACCAGACTGTCAACACGAGAGAGAAAGAGAGCGAGAGAGAGAGAGAGAGAGAGAGAGAGAGGGGCACCAGTCGGCAGGCAGGGAGTAGGGGCTTCTAGGGTCAGTCTGGCCGCAGGGAAGTGATTGAGCTCAGCTGGGTCTTGCTGGTGGGTCAGTGACACGCCACCATTCCACTGCCATGAGCACTCTTGGTCCCTGCGGATTCCTGGGACTGGGCCTGTCTGAAGCATTTCATATGCCGGAGGATGCGAGGGACCTTAGGAAACCCGCTTTTTCTTGGGGTGGAGTTTGAGCCGTGAGGAGGGTGGGGTGTGGGGGGGGGCGCTGTGAGGAAGGTCACCCCCTTGGGGAACCAGCTGGGCAGCCAGTGTAGGGTTTTCTGGCTGCACTCAGGCACATGGCCAGGGTGGGGAGCAGAGACGTGCCCAGCTCTGAGCTGACCGTTTCTGGCCGTGTGACCTTGGGTGGTTTCGGTTTCTGTTTTCTTCTTGGTTTTGGACTGCGCCCAGCAGTGTTGTGGCTCTGCTCCTGACCCTGTGCTGGGTCGCGCATGGGTGGAGGGTAGAAAGGGGTGGTCACTCTAATTGGTGCTCAGGGAACTGTGCAGTGCTGGGGGTTGAGCCCAGTCCCCTCGTGTGCAAAGCTTGAGGTGGTCCATTGGACCATATCCCTGGCCCCTGGGGCTGTTTCTTTCTGTTGATGGGGAAACTGTTTCTCCATCACTTGTCTGATCAGGGAATGATGTGGGGGGTTCTGGAGAGAGAGGAAGCGGGTGCCTGGGCCTTCCTGCCCAGTTACATGCGCTGGTCCAGTGCTCTGAGAACATGTCGGATCTGAGGATCCTGAGAAGCCATCCAAGCTGTCCCCTGAGGAGTCCTGGGGTCCCCACCAGGCCAGCACTGTCCTGTGTCACTGTCCCCCTTCCACATGCCCGGGCTTTGCTTTCAGGGCCCGGAGCATTCCTCAGCACGGCCCGAGAGGTTTCTGCAGATGAGCAATGATGATTCGGATGCGTATCCGGTGAGTGCTGCCCATGGGTCAGGCCTGGGATATAGATGGGCCTGGGCGGGCTGTGGGTGCTGTCCAAAGGCCACCCCCCAGCCACCCCTTGTCCCCTCCCCCAGGCCTTCACTCAGGACTTTGAGGTACGCCAGCTCTACGACTGTAACTGGATCGTTGTCAACTGCTCCACACCGGCCAGCTACTTCCATGTTCTGCGCCGGCAAATCCTGCTGCCCTTCCGCAAGCCAGTGAGTGCCTGCCCGCCTCGGATGGCCATGGAGCGTGGAGGGGAGCGAGGGCAGGGGGCGCCACCCGGGGGTGGGGGGTCAGGCGGCTAGCAGCTGGGCCTGTGTTTCCCATGCAGCTGATTGTCTTCACACCCAAATCTCTGCTGAGACACCCAGATGCCAAGTCCAGCTTTGACCAAATGGTGTCTGGTACGTGCCGGGCTTGTTTCTGGGGGCTGGGGTGTGGCCGATGGGTTCCCAGGGGCCCGTGGCATGATCTCTGCTTCTGGGGCGCTGCCATCCTCTCTGGCTCTCAGTAGTTCCGTCAACCCTGTGGCAGCTCCCAGCACGCCCCTGTGGGGACCAGGTTAGGAAGGTTGGCAGGCGGCCAGCTGGCCTGCCCAGGTCTCCTGGGCTGAGTGCCAGGGCCAAGGAGGCACTGGAACTCCCCCCCCACCCCCACCACCCCCGGCCACCTGGCGGGGCAGCCCGTCTGTGCCGGGAGAGCTGGGCGGCAGGAGGCCGGGATGAGTGAGTCTGGCTCTCAGATAGGCACTGGGTCTCACTGGTCCAATTTATTCCTTTCTCCTGTGAACCAGACAGACATTATTGGTCCTGGGGGCCCAGTGTCCCTCTCCACGCTCCTCCACCGTAGGAGCTGTCAGTCTCCGTTACCTGGAAGTGGGCCAAAAGTGTCTCTGAAGGGCTTGGAGGTGGGGTGACATATCAGCCGGAGGAGATCAGGGAGACCAGTGCTTGGCTGCGGTTAGGTCAGCAGCTGTGATCCTGCATTTCAGTGTCCTGGCTCAGGAGGGGGACACGACAGCTTCCGGGGGAGGTTCTGGCAGCGTGCTTGGCCTGGCACCAGTTCAGAAAGGAATAATGGATAGACAGGACTTGGAAGTGGCGAGTTGGCTGCAGTCTAAGGGAGGTTCCAGGAGGAAGCCCACCCCCCCACCCCCCAGCTTCTGAAACCATGTGCTGAAACCTGACTGAATATGGGTGTCATTAAAAAAAAGGTTTCTGAATGTGCAGTGACCAAACCTCAACTCAGCCCCAGCCACAGACTGAGTTGGACGCACCTCTGGTGGCGAGGCTTGCTCAGGGGGGTGCATTTCTTGGTGACAAAGGGGGCATGAGGGAGAAAGCTGGAGAAGCCATGACCTAGACAGCTGCACCTTCCGGCTGGGGGTTGGGTGGCAGGAGATGGGCCGAGGGGATGCAGGTGGGTCTAGGCAGACAGGGGTGTGGCATCTCCGCCTTTGCCCCCTTTTGCTGTGGCCAGTACTCTCAGGGCTGTCCCTTTGGGTCTCCCCCTTTCTCCCAGCTCCAGCACAGGCTATGCCCTCTCCCCTGCTCCGTGGTTTGGGCTCACTGTGGCTGATGCTCTCGGTGCTGTACCCTTGAGTCTCCGCCCTTCTCCCAAGGCAGCGCAGGCTGTGCCCTCTTCCCTGTTCCATGGTTTGGGTATAACCTAGGTTTATGCCTGTGATATAGTATGCAGGAGAGCATGGGGGTGCCAGGGTGACTGCCTGGCTCCCCATACACTTGCTCCCCCTTGGGGAGCTGATGGCCCCACCCCCTGCATTCCCCCAGGGACCAGCTTCCGGCGGGTGATTCCCGAGGATGGGCCTGCGGCACAGGCCCCGGACCAGGTGCGGCGGCTCATCTTCTGCACAGGCAAGGTCTACTACGACCTGGTGAAGGAGCGGAGCAGCCAGGGTCTGGAGGCCCAGGTGGCCATCACGCGCCTGGAGCAGGTGCACCTGAGCCCCGTGTCATGTCATGTTGGGGGATGGATGAGCTCAAACCCCTCCCGTCCTCCTCACCTACTCCCGGCCCAGGGCAGGTGGGACTGGTGGAGGTGGGGGGGCCTCGTCACGGGCACCCCTGCAGTGCACCCCTTTCTGCCTCCCTGCTGCAGATCTCCCCGTTCCCCTTTGACCTGATTAAGCAAGAGGCAGAGAAGTACTCAAGCGCGGAGCTGGTGTGGTGTCAGGAGGAGCACAAGAACATGGGCTACTACGACTACATCAGCCCACGCTTCATGACCATCCTGAGTCGGGCGCGCCCCATATGGTACAGTGCGGGCAGGGTGCCTTCACTCCTGTCCCACAACCGAGCCCAAGGGCCTCCCGGGCATCGCGGGCTGGCTCGGGGACTCCAGGGCCCTCACATCCTTCCTCCCAGCACCAGAAGCACGAGAAAGCTTAAGCCTGGTGTGCCTTGAGGACGGGGGAGGAGGCGGGCCCTGTCCATCCCTTACCTCGTGCGTCCCCCTTCCCAGGTATGTCGGCCGTGACCCAGCAGCTGCCCCGGCCACGGGAAACCGGAACACACACCTGGTATCTCTGAAGAAGTTTCTGGATACTGCCTTCAATCTCCAGGCCTTTGAGGGCAAGACGTTTTAGAGCTGAGCAAGGCCTGTTGGGGTCTCGCCACAGGGCTGTCCGGGGACACTGGGGACTAGCTGGGGAGGGGCAGTTGGTCCTGCCTAGGAGAGGGGAGGTAGGTAAAAAACTTTAATGCAGTGATTGAGGCCAGAGAGTAGGCACTCTTGGCTTTGGGGTCACACCCCCTCGGGCCTTCTTCTTTAGTTCAGAATCTTTTAGGACCAAGCAAGCAGGAGGATCTTGAGAGACAAGGCCTAATGGTTCTGGAGTGTTTTCTCCAGCCGTCCTGGCGTTTTTTTTGGGGGGGTGGGGTGGCCTCTCCCCAGGCGTCAGAGACTTTGTCTCTGGCCTGTCCCATCCTGGCACTGCAGGCTAGTGTTTCCCCTGTCCTTGTCCATCTGTCGAATCGAAGAATATTCTCTTCCGTGCTCTTAGAAATAGAGATTTCAGCAATAACAACCAGGTGAAGCAGAACCGCGCCCAGTGATTTATTTGTGCTCTGTTTTATGGGGCGTGCCATAATGAGGTATGTCGGCTCCTGTGTAAAATACAGCCGCAGCTTGTGTGTACCAAAGTAGAAAACCAAATAACAGAGAAATAAAAGCAGTGCTCATGAGAGACTGTCTTTCTTCATTGCGCCTTGTAAAACTGGAGGACTGCTGGCTTAGCGGGGGGAGGCGGGGACGAGAGGCTGGTGTGTGAGGGTGAACCCTCCTCGCCCTCTGCTGCACAGCTTCCTTTGCGCCGGGCTGTGTGTGTGTGTCTGTGTGTGTGTGTGTGGAGCCACTGTCAGCCCCTCCCACCCCACTTTGCCTTTTCTGGGTTTTGTCTCCCAGTGAAGATGCTGGAGAAACTGCAGGAGGAAGGAATATTTCTTCCCCCAAACCCTAGATTCATTTGCCCCTTCTCAGAGCACTTTCTCTCTGCTCAGCACCGGGGTCTGGGGTGAAAGAAGTGTGCATCTCTGTGCTGGCTTTTCCCATTCGTGAGCCCCAAGGGGGAGAGTGTGGGCGATTTGATTTATGGAGTTGTGTGTTATTTTGGTGGCAGAGGGTTACCGGCCTCAAGGAAGGCTGCCTGGAGGAGGTATTTGGAGGAAGACAAGTTCTACTTAGAAACTGAGTCTCCAGTAGAGCAGACCCAGAAATATTGAACACAGGGTGGGGCATCCTAACAGATAAACTAACTGGAAGGTGGGCAAGGGAGTGTTCAAGCCTGTCAGCCTCAAATGCAGCATTAGGGAGTTATGCTTTGAATTCAAATCCAGGAGCATTTGAATTCTCATAAGGTAAACCTGGCTACATCTGCCTCTAGAGTATGGCCATTGTGTTTGGGGTGGTTTGCTGAGTGTTTGGCATGGATTGCCACATAAGCAAACCTTCACTGTGTGTTTGCTTCCTAGGACTGTATCCATTTTATAGATGAGGAAATCAAGGTTCACATGAAACTATTTGTCCAGTATCATTCACCCCAGGGCCGGTACCTCTGTCACCAAGACCATCCTTGCCCTGGGAAGCACAGCTGCCCTGTCGTGCATTCCTGCTTTCATGGGAAGCCCTTCTGGGCTCTCCCTGAAGGTGGGCAGTGCCCATCGGGCTTGTAACCTTTGGAGGTGCTGGGCTGCCCAGAAACCCATGCTCTGCAGCTGGGCACACTGAATGCCCTCCCACTTTCTCTGCAGGCAGGCCAGATTAGGGATTTACCAGTTGTGTTGCTTGGTACACAGGATGGCCATTGTGAGAAAGGAGGAGTCAGGTTCTGTGTGCATGAGAGCAGCCATTGGGGGAAAGGTTTGTCGCAGAGGGCAGGAGGAATTGCTCCTCTGCAACGGTCAAGGCCATTAGGATGGCTGAGTGCATTTCTCATGCAGAAGTCCTGGATCCCATCCCTGGCATCACGTGGTCCCCAGTGCATCAGCAGGAGTGACCTCAAAGCACCACCAGGTGTAGCCCCAAGTGCTCCCAACAGAATGTACAAAATAAATATTGCCCAAAGCCTCAGTAGATGGGCTGAAGAGCAGACTGGATACTGCTGCAATTCTAATTGAAAAAAAATTTTTTTTCCTCCTTCGCTTCATCGAAATGACTGGGGTCCCGCACATATGGGGCCTGGCTGTCTGAGCTTGCAGTGCACACACCCCGGGTTGTGGCCCTCACCTGGAGCTGCCTCCTTTTAGAGCCTCCTGGCGTGCTTGCTTGTGATCCCTGTGATGCTCACACACGTGCTGGTTGGGAGAAGGGGGGCGGGATAGGTGGGACCAGAAAGTTCTGACGCATGTTCACTGGGGTTCACACCTGTTTATTGTGTTTTGCATGCACCTGGGTGTGGTGGCAGAAATTGTGTGAAGCTTCTTGGGCCGAGCTTCACATATGAGTGAACATATTCCTGGACCGTAATTTTATAAGACACTCCCTACCCATTTTCCATAATTGCCACACCATATTGGATGGGGTTCAGACAGTAGGCAACAAATCATAGATGGAAATATATATGCATATATACATATTTTCAGACATAAGTACCACCAAAGCTCACTGTCACTGTCTTATTGTTCATCAATTTGCTTGAGCAGACCCAGTAACATTGTGAGACTTGTTACTGTGTTTGGCATATCGAATACATCACGGGTAGCTTGCCAGGCTTTGCTGTGCAGGCGAGATACTCTCGGTAGCTTGCCAGGCTCTCTCAGAGGGGTGGAGAAATCAAATTCGGGTCGGCCATGTTCGCTGCATGCAAGGCAAACACCCTACCAGCTGTGCTATCGCTCCAGTCCCCACCAAAGCTCACATCACCCAAACTTTAGCAACATGTTAGTGATATCCTATAGAACGTCTTAATGGCTCCTGCCAAAATAGAACAATCTTCATACTGTTTTCTATATGAACACTTTTTTGTAGGTATGTTCAGCAGTTCTTCATAATAGACAATACAAAATATATTCTTTCATTTGTGTTTTGGGATAGGGATTGAGGCTTGGGACGGAAACATCCCGAATTTGGTGGTGGGGAGGTGTAATGGTGGTGGGATTGGTGTTTGAATATTAAATGTAATCAAATATTGTGAAATAACTTATAAAATTAAAAACAATTTTAAAAAACTGTGAAGCAATGGAAGTAGAGACAGTGGCACAGGGGATTGACCTTGGGCCTTACACAGGCAGGATGGTCATGGTCAGCCACTGAACTGTCTGCTGGACCCTGCAAACTATCAATGTAGGGGAAATGCCACACAGGAGCTCTCCCAAGGGCAAAGGACAAAGTGCATCAGGTAGTACGTGGGTAGGGTGCTTGCCTTGCATGTGGTCCACCCAGGTTTGATCCCTCGTACCCCATATGGTCCTTTGAGCCCACCAGGAGTGATTCTGAGTACAGAGCCAGGAGTAACCCCTGGGCATTGCTGGGTGTGGTCCAACCAAACCCCCGCCCCCTCAAAAACTTTATACAGAACTGAGCTTACCATGATGGGAGACTGAGGAAGAAGATGAGGGAAGCATTCTGGTGGAGGGGGTGTTGTTGGAATATTGTATATGTTAAGCCTTATAAACTATTGTAAATCACAGTGCCTCAAATTAAAAATAAAATCTTTAAACATAGATGGAATGCAAAGACACCCCATAGTTCTTACATGTAATAGTCCCATGGGGAGAAATCAGGGAATTTTGTGATGGAAATTTGTTTTGACTGTCAATGCCAATATCTTGGATGTGATATTATACAATAGTTTTGCAAGATGTTATCATTGGTGAAACAGTAAGGGCTACAAGGGCTATCATTCAACACTGTAAGTCAACAGTCGTCTGCTTTAAATTATACAATATAAACATACATGAAATGTTGGCTTGGTGTTATCAAGGTGTAAGCATTTCTCTTTCAACAGGCATACAAGTTCCTTATAGCATATATGTTTACAAGTGCTACCGTCTGTGGCTTGTACTTCAATGTTTTCAAAGGGTGAAATACTCTAATTTTCTTGATGTGCATTTTGTCACTTTTACTGATTTGTAGCTTCTTTACCCAGTGTCACCAAATTTTCTCCTGTGTTTCTTCTAGGAACTAGAGAGTTTATAGTTTTAATTCAAGTTTTGGTCTAGAATCATACATCATGAGTTATTTTGCATTTGAAATGAGGTATGGATCAAGTGCTTTCTAATATCATACTCAATCATTCCTGTATCAATTTGTGAAAAATAACTTTTTCTGAGAATGTGGCTCAATGTAGAGTGCATGCATTATATGTGTGAGGTCTGGTTTCCATTCTTGGCACCACCAACCAACAAAAAACCTTATTTTTGATTCATTGCATTAACCTGAATCTTTTATTTGTATACTGCATTACGTAGTTTCCAGAATATGAAAAAGATACTAAGACCTGTGTGCTGAGTATATAAAACTGACTACGATAAACAGTTAATGGGGAAGTTTTATCCTATTCATAGAGTGGATGTCTTAATGTTAAGAATCAGTTCTCCTGGCTGGAAAGAGTACAGCGGTAAGGCGCTTGTCTCGCATGTGTCTGGCCTGAGTTTGATCCCTGGCACTGCCAGGAGTCAGCACTGCACACTACTGGGTGTATTTCCTCCACATCCCTACCCCTCACCAATAAAAGAATTGCTTCTCTCCCAACTTTAAAGTGCATATGTAATATTTTGATAGCCAAGCAACTTTGGAAAGGAAGGAAATGATGCTTTCACCACTTATTTCTAAGATTTATTTAATTTATTTTTGTGGTTTAGGAGCTATATCCAGCAATGCTCAGGGCTTACTCCTTGCTTGGTACTCAGGGATCACTTCCCGTGGGGCTTGGAGAATCCTATAGGGTGCCGGGGATCAAACCCGGCTCTACCATATGCAAGGCAAGCCCCTTGCCCACTGTACTATCTCTCCAAACTCATGATTACCATTTAAATTTCTGTTCTTGTAACTGATCTGCTCGCACAATTTTCTTGTTTAGTCTGGGAAGGTTATATGAGTCTAAAAAATACGTCCATTTCTTCTAATTTCTATGTTCTCTGCATATCCTTCTTCAAAATCGTTTCTTATGGTTCATTGCATCATTTTTGCAGTACCATTTCTAATTCAGTTCATTTATTTCTGAGAGTTTTAATCAGAATTTCTTGTGTATGCACTTTCTCTTTCTCCCCCTTTCTCTCTCTCTCTCTCATGACCTTGGCAAGGGATTTACAATTTCATTTATCCTTTCAAAGAGCTAGTTTTTTGTTTCATTGATCTCTTATATCATCTTTTTCTTTCTACTTTATTATCATCCAGTTTTTGTTATTGCCTCTCTTCCATTGACTTTTGGTTCTGTTTGTTATGCATTTTCTAGTTCCTTCAGATGTAAGGTTGAATTGTTTGGTCTTGGAAAATTGTATGCCTGAATCTCAGTCATCAATAACTTTGTGATTCAATTAAATAACAACACATAAAAGAAATATCTTAGGATATTTCTAACAGAGATGAGTTCTATCTGGCAGATACTGGCGGAATAGAGGTAGCCTGCATTTTCTTTGAGATAAATTTTCTAAAATTTTTGCTGCCTTTAAGTAAACAAATTTAAAAGCACTAAAAAGAACAATTCTTACTGGTTTGGGGCTATATTGTTGTGATTTGTTGTATCTG